GTATTAGAACAACTACCATTTATAGAAATAATATATACTTAATGTTTTAGTTGAATTAAACAATCTTTTATATTCTGAATTTTATTTTTAATAACAAATAATTACTTTTGTAAAGAACTGTATCGTGTGTTTAAATTTTTAATTATATAAGTCAGATTAGGACTTACATAATCAGCTGTAGCCCACCTTTCAGCTTTTTAGACCTGTTTAACTGTAGTCTGGAGGAGGGGAGTTTTTCCCTTACTCTTTTAATTCTGAACTGACTGTTCCATGTAGTATGTATGTGGCCAAAGGAGGCAGACATATTACTACTCATAAATTAGAGTTATTGCTTCAGTATTTTCTGATAAATTCAGCTTCTTAAGTAACACCCCATTTCCATTCAATTAATCTCATCATCAAATGGATTTTTTAACTGTATGTTTACATTATTTAGAAGTGATTCCTTACACTTACTAAGTTTTATTTTCAATATAGATTCCATAAGTTGAATTTGATTTTTTCATACAAATAGCTATTGTAGAAATACCTAATAATACTCAATAATTTATAAAAGGAAATAATCATGAACCTAGCAATAACTAAGTTATAAATTATGCACTAACAGTGTCAACCTTTCTAAAATACTTATTAGCAGAAATATACTATACAAAGTTCTTGTCTGCATAGTTCCATCCTTATTATTATAATCATAAACTCTAAGATGAAGGAAAACTTCATCAAAATCACAGACTATAGAGGTACTTCCTCAAAGCAAATCCTGATGGATAATTTTCAAGAAACTTTTAGAGAAAAAGTTAGGAACATTTAGGGACTTTTGCAGAAACTGGGATTACTGCTTTTTTTTTTTTTTTTTTTTTTTTGTGAGGAAGATCCGCCCTGAGTTAACATCCGATGCCAATCCTCCTCTTTTTGCCGAGGAAGATTGGCCCTGGGCTAACATCTGTGCCCATCTTCCTCTACTTTATATGGGTCACCGCCACAGCATGGCTTGACAAGTGGTGCGTAGGTGCGCACCCGGGATCCAAACCCGCGAACCCTAGGTCACCACAGCGGAGCGCGTGCACTTAACCGCTACGCCACCAGGCCGGCCCCATTACTGCTTTCTTCATGTCATGATCACAGAATCTCCTATCAAATACAGACAGCATTTCAGTTGTTAGCCATTTTACTCTCTGGGGAAAAGAGGAGTGGATTTATTTTGCTTTCTTGAGCAAGCAACCTCACCTTCTATCCTAATGTTAAGGAGGGACAGTATTATCTTTTAAATTCCTAATCCAGCTCATTTTACTGAATTTTTCATTACTTGAGCCTTCATTACTGTTGCTACTTCATAGTGTTCCCTCAGTGTCATATGACTTCACAGCTTTGATCTAAGTGGTAGTGAATGAGTTTGAGTCCAATTCACATAATCTGAAATCTTTTCATCTTGGCCACAGGCCTTGTACTTTGTTCTATAATAAATTATAATTGTCACTACAATTGCACTGCACTATGGCACTATTTTTCTTGTATTGGCTGTTGTAAAGGATACTATTTTACTATGAAGTAGTGAAACCAGCTTTTATAACAAGAGCACCAAAATGTTTATTAAATTAATTAATAAACAAAGTTTTGTTTCACAGCCTTATTTCAGTAAAATGTTAAAGTACCCTACTAAACTGGGAACCTGAACCTAGATAGATTTTTTAAAGTAAAAGATAGGATACTGAGCCCATGTGAGAGAAGAATGCTTTTCCCTTTTTATTATTGTCCGAAATAATCAGTTTTAAAATGTAGAATATTTTGCAAAAATTAAAGATCCACCTCTGATATCTGTGGTTGGAAAAGCTGAATTTTCCTGAGGAATTTATAAAACTGATATAAGAAAAATGTATCTGTATGAAATGTGAGCTTTGTATGCTGCCAGGGTCAGAAAGACCCAGATAATCATGTAAATAATTGGAAATTGCCATTGCCTGGCCTGATTTCTCCGTGGCCTCCGTAGTGCAGTATATGAGGAGGCAGCACCTTTGGTTGGCCCAGTTCCTCCCTTTCTGTTTACTCCCTTTACCCTCATGTGAACATTCCTGTCTCTCCTTACAATATTGGATAACTATTTCTTGGGGATCATCCAAGACCATGAGCCTTTTTATTAAGAACTTTTAACATTCATCTTGTTTTCTCATGATGTAAAATAAATGCATCGAATCTCTTTCAAATTTATCTTTAAAGATTGGCATTTTTCTCTCTTTATTAACAATATTTTAGGATTTAACAATTGATGTCTTGAGTAAAGTACTTTTAACATTACTGACTGATACAAAGCCCTGGTTCAACCTGGCCACCTGGCATTTTGTGTTTGTCCATCTGAGTCACAGTAGGTTTTGAAGAAGTCAATTTATTTTCATTAGAAATGGTTTGCTACTAAAGAACATATAGTAACTGTCTTATGTTTTATTTATGTTCAATTTATTTCAATAGATGAACCTAAATATAAGTTAAAAAGAGATAAATGATTTATTAAAAAAAGAAAAAAACTATATGTGCCATCTGTAAAAAAAAAAAAAAAAAATGGGCTTCTCACTTTTAATTCCCTTAAGGGTAAGGGCCTCTTTGTATGTGGAAATATCTTTGTTCTCAACTGCATAGCATGGCGGTAGGAGCATAATAGGTGCTTAGTAGATATTTGTGAAATGAAAGCCATTCCCTACCCACAGTTAGTAATATGTACCACTTCAATCCCACTGAACTCCTATAAAAGAAAAATAATTATCTCATCAGCAAGAGTCTGTGTCTAGTAAACTCTTATAGTTTTTGTATGTTTGGAAATTTCTTAAATGATAGTTTATCTGGCTATAGAATTCTCAGTTGACAGTTTTTTCTCTCTGCATGTTGAAGATATCTCATTGTCTTCTGATGGTGTTGTTGTTGGTGGTGTTTATGAGAAGTCTGCCTTTAGTTTGATTATCATTTCTTTGTGGGATATCGTGTCTTTTGTCTCTGGTAGTTTGTAAGATATTCACGTTATCTGTGATATAACGAGGTACAGATTTATTTTCATTTTTCCTCCTAGAGATTCTCTCTCCTTTTTTAGTTCGAGGATTTGTGCCTTCTTCAATTCTCTGCCATTATCTCTTTGGTAATATCTGTACCATTTTCTCTGTTCTCTCTTTCTGGTACTTTAGAAATTTTGGTATGTCTTCTGTCTCTTAATTTCTCTTTCTTATTTTCTTTATTTCATTCTCTGTTTTTAATTTCTGCACTGAATTCTAAGTAATTTTATTCTGTAAGTTTATCAGCTATCATTGTAGGGGGTTGTGTAGTCTGCTGCTTAACTCATATTATGAGTTTATTTCTATCTCTATTTTTTATTTTAATATTATGTTTCCTTTTTAAAGTTTGAATGTGGTTCTTTCTCAGATCTGCCTATATATAATACCCAGTTCTTGCTGATGGATTCTATTTCTTCCTTTATCTTTCTGGACATGCTAATGATTAAAGTCTCTCTTCGATTGCTTTATTATCTATAATTCCGCAAATATGGATTCTCACATTTGTTGCATCTGCCCACTTCCATGGTAGTGGGTTTTATATGTTTTTTATAATTTTTGCCTGAACTCTTCTTCTGCCCTCTCCCCCCATTGGAATCACAAGCATTCTCTGGATTATGGAAGTGTTCCTATGGTATGTTTGTGTATTCATTGAGATCTATGGTTTTCACTGGTTCTGGGCCAGTTTTTTACGTTAGTTTTTAGATTTTAGTTTTAGATTTTTCCATACCACCCAGGTGCTACAAAAATCAGATTCCACAAATGGCACAGGCTGGGCATTCCGTGTTTTCACCAGTGATTCTTTCTATCTTGAATAAGAAGGTAGCCTGCTTCTATCCTGTGTCCCCAGTTTGGGCTTTCCTAGCTTTAATTTACAAATTGGATATCCTTTTAATTTCTGCGGTGTTTTTGGTTTGCTTGTTTGTTTTTCAGTTCTGGGAGTTAGATCACTTCCATCTCCCCTCTACGTATGGGGTCCTGCAGACTATGACTGAAGACCCCCCCGGGGGCTGCTGAGCTTCGGCTCCCACTCACCACTATCTTACTTCTTTGTTTTGGCACCTAGAGATTCTCCTTTCTCACTTTTGAGCTCAAATATAATTTTATTGGTGCTGTTGTCCAGTTGCATCCAGTATTTCTCTTTTTGGAATGGGATGGGGACTTTCCACATATTCACTGTACCATCTTGTCAAGGAAATTGGAACTATACAGTTTAAAATTATTTTTTTCTTGACCCACTGTTTGTAACAATTTATGTTAAGCAAACAACCTATAGTCTGTAAAGTAAATATAATTGCATCTATAATTTCAACCAACTGTAATTAGCATCTTAGAATCACTAAATATTCTTGCAACCCAGTAGAGATTGAAGTAGGATTTATGGAAATGGTTTCTTATTTAATTATCACATAAAGATTATTTTTTAAAAGTTTGACTACTTATGTAAAATTAAATAGCTGAAAGTCTGCTTAATAATATTGAAAGAACTTACTGAATTTAAAAGTTTTAACTGTCTCATTTTTATGCCATTATTTATATAATCATTACTTTTTATCCATATTTAGGATAGTAGATGTCAGCATGTGTATCAGTATGCCCACAGTCTTGACAACAGAAACATCATATTGCCATTACTTTTACTATATCTTTAAGAAAGATATATCTTTAATATATATCTTAAATAATAGATAAAATAAAAACATGATATTATTGCCATTACTTTTATATCTTTATACTTTTATACTTTATACTTCATTACTTTTGTATCTTTAAGAAAGATATAAAGGTAATTTCTTCCTGTATCTTCTTTTTAAAGATCTAGGTTAACATCTTCTGACAATGATATCAGTTGAGAACATGATATACTTGATTATAAAGAGTATTGGGAAAAAGTAAGACAGTCTCCTTATTTGATCAAAAATGTCTATTTTTTTCAGACTTAGTTTTTGTTTCTCTCCCTTTTTTCAGACATATAAAGAAAAAATGAAGGCAGATACATTGACACATACAAAGAAAGGCCCACAGCCAGGTAAAGGAGGCATTTCATTTCCCCTTCACATTTCACACCCTGTGAGCCAGAAGACGAAAAAAGTCTACCGTACAGACCAGACCACCTTCATAATTGGAGAAACGCCAAAAGGGATCCGCAGGTATGTGGTCTATGACAACATTGGACTTTATGAATAATTCTCAAAAGAAACATAACTCCTTATTAAATTACAGAAATTATTTGAATTTTAACCATAGCTAGCATCTGAATATTTCAGGAAAATCTGAATTTGTACACTTTAAAAATAAATTCCAAATGTTTTAGGTGTTTTTATAAGGCTAATCCCTCAACTGATTAAAAAAAAAATGAAGTCATTTTCTATAGATAAATAAAATACTTAAGTGCATGATATTCATTCATTCATCGAATACTTATTGAGCACCTAATACACACAGGCATTGTGCTGGGTGCTGAATATACAGTGATAAAAAAGACAGACATAGAGCTTACAGTGCAGTGGGATAGGGGTTGGCATCAAACTATAAAATTTTCAAAAATATAAAAACTTATAAATAAATAATTATAAAATGGTATATTATACGAAAGAAATGGACAGGCCTCCTTGATAGAGAATAATGGGATCAGGAGGGGTGAACTGCTTTAATCTTGGGTAGTCAGGGAAGACCTGTCTACACAGGTGACATCAAAGTTGAGACCTGAAGGATAACCAGGCAAAGAACCAGAGTAAGAACATTCCTGAGAGGGGAAGAGGTTTGGTGTGTTCGAGGCACTAAGAGAAGACTGCTGTACTGAGTGCATAATAAACCAAGCAAAGAGTGGCATGAGGTGAACATAGAGACGTAGATGGGGCTGGAGCAAAGCCTTGTAGATTGTACAAAATAGTTTGGATCTTGTTGCACATGTAAGGGAAAGCTGTTGAAGAGTGACATGATCTGACTTATGTTTCTAAGATTGCTCCAGCTTCCGTGTGGAAGAGGCAGAGTGCACCAGGGGAGACCATAAGGAACTAGGTAATGGTGGTTTGCCATAAGAGTGTTTGCCATGGGGATAGAGCCAAATGGATGAATTCAGTTTGGTGTTGGACTGGTAGCTGAGAAAGAGAGAAGATGGGATTACTCCCAACTTTCTGTCTTCAGCAACAGATTGGACTTACTGAATGGGGAAAACTAGGAGAGAAATAAGTTTGGAGTAAAAAAAATCAGGAGTTCTCTTTTGTTCATATTAAATTTGAGATTCTATGGAAATGTCAGATAAGCAGTGGATATGCTACTCTGGGATTTGGGGACTGGAGATCTAAATTTGGAAGTCATCAGCACAGAGATTATAAATGGTTTTTCGAGCCATGGGACTGTGTGAACAGCCTAGGAACAGAGCACTGAGAAGGGGAGAAGCCCCAGGACTGAGCCTGGAGGCGACAGAGGCCCGCAGGGTAGGAGGCACAGTGCAAGGTCCTGAAGTCCCAGAGCAGTGAGAGTTTCAAAAAGGAGAGAGCACTTACCTTTATGGAAAGCTGCTGAGAACCAGAATCAGAGGAAGTGGAAAGTGCCTCCGGGAGCTGCAGCAGAGAACTCCTCGGCTGCCTTGATATAGGCAGTCTGTGTAGTCAGATGCCAGAGTGAGGTGGGCTCACAGTGAATGGGCAGACCCTGTGACGGCTCTTTAAGTTTAGATGTGAAAAGTGGCAGTAGCTGGAGCGCACTGTGCCGTCAAGGGTAGGGTTTTTGTGGTGAGGAAGATCAGCCCTGAGCTAACATCCATTGCCAATCCTCCTCTTTTTGCTGAGGAAGATTGGCCCTGGGCTAACATCCATGCCCATCTTTCTCTACTTTATGTATGGACCCCTGCCACAGTGTGGCTTGACAAGCGGTGCATTGGTCTGCGCCCTGGATCCGAACTTATGAACCCTGGAACGCCAAAGCCGAGTGCGTGAACTTAACGGCTACACCACTGGCTCCAGGTTTTTTTAAGTTGGGAAGATAATAGAACCTGTTTGTGTGTTGAGGGAATGGAAAGTGATAACAAGTGAAGTCCTGGAGGCAGGAGAGGGTGGGACCCAGACCACTGGCGAAGGTGTAGCCTTTGAGAGGCACTGAAAGAGAAGGGACAAAGGTGGGCACAGATATGGCTATTTCCTCGATTAATTGAGAATTAAAGTCATCAGTTCAGAGGGAGAGAGATTTAGAGAGAGAGAAATCATTAAATAAATCATTTATAAAGTAGGAAAGCAAGTTTAGTGAGACTAGCATTCCTGGGTGATAGTAAGTCCCTGTTTGAGAGTAAAACCATCTGGGCAGTTGTGCAGGCTTCATTCAGCAAGCATCAGTTGCAGACACAGAATAGGGAGATGGCTGGGTTTTACCAGGGATTAGAATGGAGGGAGAGAGAAGCAAGGAAGGTGAAGGAATGTTTGCAAAGGAGTGATTATAAAATTGAACCTAAGCTGGACAAGGGGAGATTGATGATAGTGAGAAAGCAGAAGAGTCAGTGAATTGGAAGACTTGATGAGGTGAAAAGTATATTTCTGCATTGTTGTCATGGAGGTGATTGAGCAGTTGAGCTGGACATGAGATGATTGAATTCAGGGATTTGGAGGTGGTTCAGTTAACGGTAATGACAGTGGCAGTATACGACCTTGGGAATAGGAGCCCGACATGGAATTAAGTCTTTGGAGGTGAGGGAAAGAAACTAGTGGGCTAGGAGTTCGGTGGGACATCCACATGGATATTGATAATAATTGTGAAGAATGATGGCAAGAGATGGGGTAGGAAGCAACATTAATCCAGGATCTTGAGTGTTCAGTCACCAGTAGGAAGCAACTAAGGGGTCAGTTAACAAGATAGGGGAGAGAATGGTTTAGCTGAATAGTGTAAACCTTAAGGAGAGGAAGGAGTTTTTAAGAAAATAATAGTCTGGAATCTGCAATGTGAAGTATGAACCCTGAGGTTTAAGGGTGTGAGTTATAAGAGGCTTGACTTTCGAGGGCCTCATGGGAGGAGGCAGTATGTTGAGGAGACAGAGGGACCATTCAGGTAGAAGACACAGGGGAGTGGTAGATCATAGCCTGGTTCCGGGGGCACCCAGGAATGGCTGGAAGGGTTGGATGGGGGATTGGGTTAGATCGGGGATGTCGAGACGAGGAGGGCATGTGAGGCCAGTGGCGATGGGTAACTGAGGAATAATGACTGAGGTAAGCAGGGATGAGAGGCAGGGTCGAATTGGTCCTGAGAGATTCTGTGGACAGTGAGAAAATGGTGATGGTTTTGTGGGTTCCAAGTGCTTCCCTCAGGGATTTGGCAGCTCCCAGGCAACGAGCCCCTTAGCTGCCTAGGGAAGGGCTGGTCCCTCAGCTTGTCCTGTGTGGCTCTCAGCTGCCCTCCGTTGCCCAGAAAGGTGAACACCCCTCACTGCTACAGCCACGCATCTCCTCACAAACAGACTTACAACAGTGGTTTTTGCTGGGTGTGCCTTTTTACTTTGGGCAATTATTTTGCTTGGAGGCCAGCCAGACACATCTTACCAGTCTTTGAGAAACACGTGTCTTCATCCCCTTTTGCACTATGTATAAAAGTAAAAGTATTAACAATGATTAGTTTTTGCTTCTCGTCCTTTTTTCTCTACCCAGTCTAGGGAATAAATGCCTCATGTTAGTAAAAAGGTGAAGGGCATCTAATATTAGAATGCCAACATCTGAACTGGGGAACAGTGTCCAAACAGCTGACAGCTCCTTCCTGCTAACCATTGTGCTTTATGAGAACCAAGACTGTACCATGCTGCAGCCCCCTGGATCCTCTCAACGAAGTTCTCAGTCCTACCTTCCCTGTGGAAAGCTCAGACAGAGAGAAGATGATTTTAACTCTGTTCCACCCCTTCTTCCCCCAGTTCCTCAAGAAAAGGGGAAAGAAATTGAATTTTATCCGTGATACATAACTACACTTGATAGACTTGCTGAAAGATACCTATATATGGTTTCCTTTTTTTTTTTCTTTCTCTAAGTGGTTTATGAGTACTAAACCATGTGAGTACTAAGTGGTTATGAGTACTACTCTAGTTTGCTAAATTTTCCTCACAAAGTGGCTAGCTTATATGCCCTGGTTGTACCTTGTAGTTCCTTAAATTTTTAGAGAAAATTCTTTTAAAGACCAAGAATTACAAAAGCGAGTTAGAAGGCCAAAATAAAATGAATTATAATCGTAACTCCTCCTAAAAAGGGAAACCACGCGGCATAATATACTTGCATACTACTCAGATAAAGTGGGGTCAGAAGCTGTCCTTCCAGTGGTGACAGAATGGCAGGGTTATGGGTGACGTCAGCACAGCAAAGGTGAGAGTCCTTTGGCAGCTGCTGAGACACCACCAAGTCTTGGATAAATAAAAGACATTGGCCTGTAACCTTGCCAATAACTTAATCTTTACAGCACAAATATTTATTAGAAGGGCCATGAAAATGGATTTGGAGATGATTAATAAACAAAATAACAATACCTCATTATTTCATGTGAAGTGAAAACTGGAACCTTTTAAGAACATGCTTGTCGCTTCCAACAAAACATTGGCAATTTTCAGGACAGAAATTTGGAAGCTTGTATTTGTGCTATTAAATATTCTGTGGGCAGTGTGAGTGGCTGTTGATGAGGCATAGATAGCACGAGGATTTGGAGCAGTTCACAGGTCCCCTGTGGTGAGAACCAGAAGCCATGGGGCTCATCTGAAGCCACAGGAGAAAGTCGTGAGCATGCAGGATGGATTGCCACAAAAATCAAAGGAAACACAAACTTTATATAACCTGGTCTGGTGGCAAAAATAATAGTGACTTTAAAGCTCCTACTTACATACAATTTTTAAGTAATCATTATTTTTCCCTCAGCGTTCTCTGTTGTGTGCAGGATGAAATTCAGACTTCTGAAATTGGCTTATGAAGCCCTCGTGCTTTTTCAGCCTCTTCCTTGGCAGTTTCTCCTCACCCTGTGTGCACCAAGGCCTCTTGGGCCTGGACCTGTGCATGTCCCTTCCTTCCCTAGAAGGCTTCCTCACTCATCTTTACCTGACTGGTTGCGGTGACAGCAGAGAAGCCTTCCCTACCCTCCTTGCCCACACCAGGCACTGGCTTAGCTACCCCTTCTGTGGGAGCCAGCAGGGCCCTGTATTTACCTCCATCATGGGATTATCACTCCCTTCTGATTTGATTTTCATGCATCTGTCTCCCCCAACTAGACTATAAACTCCTTGAAGATAGGGAACTGGGCTTGTTGACTGTTGTCTAGTTCTTACTCCAGTGCCTAGCACATAAGAGGGTTCTATAAATATTTATTGAATAATGAATGTTTTAAGGAAATATTATATAAAATATAAATATAATTCTAAAATTTGGGGACTTTTAATCATGTGCTGCAACACCATCTGTGGCTTCTGTTTAAAGGAATGTTTACAAACATTGGGCTCTCCTGCCTCATGGCCCAAACTCAGCATCAGCAAAACAATACCTTAGTCTGCTCAGGCTGCCATAAAAAAATACCACAGACTGAGTGGCTTAAACAACAGAAGTTTATTTCTCACCGTTTTGGAGCCTTGGGAAGTCCAAGATCAAGATGCCGGCTGATTTGGTTCCTGGTGAAGGCTCTCTTCCTGGCTTACAGATGGCTTTCTTCTCACTGTGTCCTCACATAGCAGAGAGAGAGCTCTCTGTTGACTTCTTATGACCTTGTTTAACTTTAATTACCTGCTAAAAGCCCCATCTCCAAATACAGTCACAGTGTGCATTAGGGCTTCAACATATGGATTGGGGGCGGGTTGGGACACACAATGAAGTCCACAGCACCATTACCTGGGGAAAGGAGCAGAGTCTAGTGCCCAGTATCCGAAACAATCTTTCTGTCTTATCTCACCAGGGCCGCAGAAGGCCCACTTCCTCACACATGCACGTAATAGCTCCTATTAGTATCTTACACTAAGAATTAAGCTCACTTCTTCAAATAGCATCTCACTTCTTAGTTTAGCTATCTGTACTGAAGACAGACCAACTGGAGGAAGAAAGAGGAAGAATGAATCTCAGTTTATCAGTTTAGAACTTTTCTTTAGGTTCATCAAAAAGTTGTGAGAAATTTCTATGTTGTATTTGTGGAAGAAGGGAAAAAAGGAGAGAGAAGAAAAAAAATACTTTCTTTTCAGAATTTTTTCTTTTCTATTCATTAACACCCTTCTTTGACAGTTTTATTTCATGGGACTTGAATGCAATATAGATTTTCAAATACAAATTATATAAATTATGATTCTCCTGTTAGTCATAAATTCGCTGACTGGAGGAGTAGCATGCTGGAATCCCACAATTCCCAGGAAATACCTAATGGTATAAATCAGAATAACTTAAGAAGCTGGTGATTTCATAAGCTAAAATATTTTCTTCAATAACATAAGGAAAGAGGTCACATTCTGCTAGCATAAAATACATTTTCATTATGGAATTAAGCTAATATATGCTAACTGAGTAAGAGTACGTTGCTTTGTCTCTGCATGTCATATCACTGATGACGAGTTCTTTAAAAATAAAATGTAATCACAATAACCACTGGTTTGTTTGTTAAATCTTCAGAAAACAATTCGAAGAAATGGCTTCTTATTTTAACTTGCCTTGTGTAAAGGAATTTGCTAAACATATAACTAACGCCACATCAGAAGAACGACAGAAAATGCTAAGAGACTTTTATGCTTCTCGATATCCAGAAGTAAAAGAATTTTTTGCAGATTCTGCTTCAGAATCCATTAAATCTGCCTATGAGGAGGGAGAGAGAGTCAGGAATAAGTCTGAAAAAAGAAAATCTCTTATAAAACAAAGGCTGTCAGATTCTGAAGCTTTCTCATTTAAAGATTCTACCAAAAAAATTTCTCAAATTTGCAGCCCAAAAATATATAAAGGAAAATCAATTAAATTTCAAAATCACGGTTCCTGTAGAGAAGAGGTGTTTTCTAATGATGCAGAAACTAAGAAATTACCTGTTAGCTGTACCCAAGAGCCGGACAATGGGAAAAAAAGCCAAGCATCCCAAAACACTGTACCATCCTGTTCGCTGAACAGTAAATCTGAATCACGTGAAAGAAAGTTAGAAAATACCATGAAAGACCAACAGGACCTTACAAGAACTGGTGTTTCAAGAAATGAATCCCTTTTCAAAGAGGAAAATAAAAAGATAGAAAATTCAATGTTAGGAAACACTTCCGTGGTAGGCTTACTCGGTGACACCTCTATTCTTGATGACCTCTTTAAAAGTCACGGGAACAGTCCTACACGACTGCCAAAGAAAGTCATTTCAGGGCCCATGGAAAAAGCAAAACAGAGACCAAAAGATTTCTGGGACATCTTGAATGAGCAGAATGATGACAGTCTTAGTAAACTCACCGACTTGGCAGTGATAGAGACTCTCTGTGAAAAAGTGCCCCTTGCTGCATCCTCCAAAAGGAAAGAAGAGCTAGAAACTTCTCTTTGGAAATCAAACAAGAACTTTTTGTGGAAAAAATTTCACTCAAGTGATACAGATGAAAACACAGCTAATACACAGGAGTGATACATAAACATAGAAATGAATTACTACAACCAGTGACCTTCTGCCATCACTGTTACAACACTGTATTCCACACTAGTTATGTTACCTTGAACACAGGTGTCAACATATACTGCTATTAAACTCTTTTTTTTTTTTCTTTTTTTTGTGAGGAGATCAGTCCTGAGCTAACATCCGCCAATCCTCCTCTTTTTTTGCTGAGGAAGACGGCCCTGGGCTAACATCTGTGCCCATCTTCCTCCACTTTATATGGGACGCCGCCACAGCATGGCCTGCCAAGCAGTGCGTCGGTGCGCGCCCGGGATCCGAACCAGCGAACCCCGGGCCGCCGCAGCGGAGCGCGCGCACTTAACCGCTTGCGCCACCGGGCCGGCCCTGCTATTAAACTCTTGATCTAGGGGTTTTAAGTCTAAAATGTTATCATGTGTTTGTTTTCCTTGATATATCTGATTTGATCTTTTAAAAAATATGACTTTTTATAGTATAAACCTTCTAGGTTTGTTATGTGGAGACCTGGGGCCTCCTCTTGCTGTATAATTATGTGACCTTAGATAAGGCACTTACCCTGGGTGCAGCCGTTTCCTAATATGAAAGATGAAAGGTTTGAGCTCAATCAACGTGAGTGTCCTTCCAGTTTAAAAAGCTTTGGTTCACTCTCCCACATTCCATTAAGTCAGAGGCCAAATTCAGCTCACCCCTGCCCCCCGCCAAATCAGGTGTACATTGATGTGTTTCTTTCTTACTAGCATTTGGAAAATTATTAAGTTAACTGTTTTCCTTTTCCCTCAGTATCATGTACTACCATTATTAAATTATTTTAGATGAAAGTAATTACTAAGACTGAATATATGGTGTTGTGTTAAAATAGTAAGTTTATAACTGCTCAAAATCAAAGGGTTAATGTTGTATAACTTTAGCATCTGAGATATGGCACCGAAGTAATATAACTACTACCATTAGCCACAGAACACCAATGCCTCAAATTTTTATACAACTATTATGATTCATCAATATAAATAAAGCTTTGTATAGTACTTTTGTATTTCTTCAGTATGAAGAAATGAGTAAACATTTGATTTTATTTGAAACTGTTATATTTTGTTGAATTTCGTTTATAACCAATGCAATGTGCCCCTTGTTGAATCCATTTATTTGGAAACATTCGCTCAGCCCCTGTGTACTGTGTTAGGAGCTGAAGATGTACAGGTGAGGCACAGCTACAGGTAGAAGGGAAACCACATCTGTCAGGAGTCACGTCTGTGAAGCCCCTTGCATTGTGCCTGGCACATGGTAGCAGGGACCTGAGGCTTCTCCTGACCCACATACAGATGTGCTGTGGCGCCTTCCCCTCAGCTGAGCTCACAGAGCTATGATGGGAGAAAATAGCAGTGAACCAGGAAATGGTGGTGCTCAGAGATCCTTGTTACTGTGTTGAGGGGAGAGGGTCTTCGGAGTACCCAGGATGTGGAGCCATTGCTCAGAAATGGAAAAAGAAAGAAAAAGTAGAAAAGAAAGAAAGAAATCTTTTCTCAAAGGACTGAATGGCCAAGTATGTTTTTCTCTAGGGCAGTGATTAGGGTTGTAAAATATATTTTATATCATGACCCATTATATATGGATTAAATATATATATGATTGAAATAAAATGTTTATGAAATAGTGTTTACCCCTAAGGCATGCAGCATTCTTTGATATTTTCTTTTCTCTTGCACTTTTGGCTCTGGTCTATGTGTTTTTAATGCTCTCATAACTCACTAAATTGATTTCATGACCTACTAGCGATTGGGAACCACAGTTTGAAAATCACTGTTTTAGTTTATATAGAGTTAGTCATTTTTTTTTCCTACTTGTAGCTGAGTTGTGTCCAGACTTATCAGATGCTACATTTCACCATTGAAGAGCTTGCTACAAAATGAATGTGTTGTATGGTCTGTGGTAGACTTGACATATAAATGTTGCTAGCCTGCTGTGTGATCAGCTATCCGAGGAGCTCAGACAAGCAAGCAGGTACCTCCTCATCTCAGTTTATATACCAGACAGTAGAGTTCAGACATTTTAATAAAAGTGTATCTTTAAAAAAATAAAATACCTTTTAAAATTTTTACATAGACATACCTTAAAATCATAAAATGATATTCATACAAATATTGGCTCTATACTCTTCAAATATAATGAAATACTATTAAGAGATTTTTATCAGTGATAGTCAAAATGGGAGCAAAAGTATAGACCTGGAGTTTAAAAATTAGTTTCCAGGGGTCAGCCCAGTGGTGTAGTGGTTAAGTTCGGCATGCTGCACTTCAGCAGCCAGGGTTCACGGGTTCGGATCCTGGGTGCGGACCTATACCACTTGTCAGCCATGTTGTGGCGCAACTCACATACAAAATAGAGGAAGATTGGCACAGATGTTAGCTCAGGGCCGATCTTCCTGATCAAAAAAACAAAAAAAAAATTTGTTTCCACCAGTTGTCAGTGAAACGTCTGTCGTTCTTATCATGCAGGAACAGTGTGCCAAACAGAGTACAGGGTCCAGTATGGAAAGGAGCCAGTCAGAACATTCCAGAAGGGAGACTGTGAGGGTTGACTTTCCCTGCAGTGGAGCAGTGGGAAGATTTGGTTCAACCATTGGTGATCTGAGAACAGACACTATGAAGGGTCAACAATAAGAGTCCCTCCTACCCTACCCCACTGATGGTATGCCGCCAAGTTCTGCCAACTAAATAGGTGGCTCCAGGCAAATCCCAGGGCCTTTTTGAGCCTCAGTTTCCCCTTTAAATTTGAGATGTACTGGATCAGTGTGTTCAAGCATTGTTTTAAGCAATTGGTCTCAATTGGAAGCTCAATTATTTGAAGCAATTCAGATGGAGGTCTCTTGGTTCCAGCAGTACTGCTGTAGCTCCATGGAGCACTCAATTTGAAAACCACAGGGATGAGATCATTACTAAAAAACCTTGCAAATTCAAGTTTTCTTGATTCTATTTGCCACAACCTCTCTTATTCTCTTTAGAGCAGCGTTACCGTCTCTCGCTGCTGGCCCTCAGCACACAGTTACTAATGTTGGAGACTGAGGCGAGACGTTGAGAGAGTTTTGCCCTTGAACTCCTCAGGGCTCCCTCCAAGCCCAGAAACCTCTTCCGAGTCCCTTCCCATCTGCAGGCGGTATGGCCGCCCCTGGGCGTCAGGCCGGGGCCTCCGTCTGCAGTGATGGGCTGCTGATACACTTCCCATCAGTGCACAGAAAAGGAGGCAGCCAGCGCCCTAGAGGGTTGTGTTAAATTCTGAAGTTATCCTCCCTTTATGATATTAAAATAGTCCTGTTAATGAAGTGATGATAGTAGATCATAGTTTTTAGTCTTTTTCATTGTCCTTACTTGATATAAAGTTTGATAACCAGTCACTTCCCAAAAGTTTTGACATTTACTAGTCTACAAAATCCAAAAGAATGGGGTCACTGCCTGCCTCAAAGGTCATTTTTTACCTACAAGGGCGTCAAGCTCCATGGTCACTGTGCCATGGACCCAGTGGACAGTGGGCCTGGGAGCCCACGCGGCCCTGTACTGCGCCCACCGTCCAGAGCCCTGAGTGCACAGCACTCGCTGGGCTCCTCACCTCACCCTTATGTAGTCCTCACTGATGGGGTCTTGTTCCCCAGTTTCCTCTCTACCTGCTTTTGCAGAGCATCCTCCGCTCAGTGCTTTTGGGAGCCTTAAAGGGAAGGCTCACAAGCTCAGGGGCACATCTGGGCACTGGTGACACTGCAGTTGCCTTGGGTGACAGCCCCATGCACTGGCCCCCCAGTGCTGGCTCTACGGGGTGTCTGTGGCAGGTGGGAAGAGCCTCACACATTTTCTCTGTTAAAGGGCAATCCCAGGAGGGCTCTTGCTCCACAGGGTCTTTCAGAGTTTTGGGTGTGAAAACAGCGCTTTGTGTGTTTGCTCTCTGCCCCTTGGGGGAAAGATGCAGACTGACCCTCCCTTAGGAAGTCTGAGGCTGTGTGGTTCCCAGCGCTGAAGTGGCAAGTCAGAAGGTACCCCCTGCAGAGGCTTTTCCACACACAGATGCCTCCCCAGGAGGTTCTGGTTCAGGAAGTCTAGGTGCCCAGGTCCATACCCAGGAAGTTCTGGTTCAGAAGGTCTAGGTGCCCAGGTCCGTCCCCAGGAGGTTCTGGTTCAGGAGGTCTAGGTGCCCAGGTCCATACCCAGGAAGTTCTGGTTCAGGAGGTCTAGGTGCCCAGGTCCCTCCCCAGGAGATTCTAGTTCAGGATGTCTAGGTGCCCAGGTCCGTGCTGTCAGGGAAGAGGAAGAATCCCCCCCTACCGCCCTTTCCCTTAAGGTTCTTATGGCTAGCCAAATAATTAAAAGACAGGTTAGCAGGAGAAAATAATACCAAGTTTAATAACATGTATACATGGGAGAAACCAGAGAAACTGAGTTTCTCAACAAAATGGCAGAGATTCTCATCTTAAATACCATCTTCAGCTAAAGACAAAGGAGGATGTTGGGGTGGGGGTTGTCAGTTACGGGAGATTACCAGAAAAGCACAGTAAACAAGAATAAGGTTATTATGCAGATTTAAGGCCTCACCTTCCACACTGATAAGAGTTTCCACAGATAAGGCCATCCCCCTCTCTTCCCAACACAGAGAGGGAGATACATTTACAAATGGAGATTTCCCTCATAAATGTAAATGTTTGTCTGGCAACTCTTTGCAGGGCCACCTAGAGAATGTGGCCTGGGAGAGACAGAATTTTTGATAAGATGGGCTTATGGTGCCTTTTCTATTGTAACATCTATTTCACATTATATTACAGCCATCATATGATAGTAACTCCTTCCTGAAACAGGTCTTCTATGTTAAATTCTTTAGGCAGTTTGGGGGAGGTCAAATGTCCCTCAGAGAATATAATCAAGGTAAAGAGATATATTTCGGGGTGGCCAATTTTGATCTCCCACAGTGCCCAGGAAGTTCTGATTCAGGAGGTCTAGGTGCCCAGGTCCGTGCCCAGGAGGTTCTGGTTCAGGAGGTCCAGGGGCCCAGGTCCATGCCCAGGAGGTTCTGGTTCAGGAGGTCCAGGGGCCCAGGTCTGTCCCCAGGAGGTTCTGGTTCTGGAGG